ATTGTCTTTTAATATGAATCCTAGAATAATAAAATTGAGGACTTTCCTTCTGGGTGGTCCCACACATACATATTTATTATGTTTCTATCTTCATTATGTATGTACCTATGCATTCTTTATAAACACATTCTGTGTATCCATGTGGCCATCCTATCCATCAGTCCATCTTTATCCCAATCTTCCATTAGTAATACAACTGCTAGTTGTGTGTCAAAGACGGTAAGAAACAGAGAAAACCCCTATACTGAATGTTTTAATTTTCAATTATCTGTTATGAGTGCAGCTACTCCTTATCCAGTCCCATGTTCCTGGGGGAGTTATATGCACAAAGGAGATGCCAGACAAATGTAATCTTTTTATTCCTAGTTGGAGTAGGGCTCACAACTCCTTTCATGGTGAGTTTGGACCTAGGAGAGCCACTGGGATGCCTTTTGCTTGGGCTTGAGGCTGCCTGCAGAGGCCTGGGTGGTAACTTGCCCCTATCAGCCCTGTTTTGGCTCTCATGTGGCTTTCCTGGGTCAAGGAGGCTATGGTGGAAGGCAGCACACAACCCTCTCCAGTGGCTTCTCCCTAAAAAGTCCTAGAAGAGCTACATCCCGTCAGAGAAATAAAATAAAAACACCCTCAATAAGGGAGGACTGTAAAGAGACCCTGCTACATGAATGAGAAGCCTTTGCCTGCCTCTTAATGTGCCAACTCCGCCATTTCTTAGCATCAGGACGCAACGCTGTTCTTGGCTCTGCCCAAGACCATCAGTCTTTCTCAGGAGTAGGGGGCCAGGAGAAGTGCTTTGAGCTAACCCAGCAGGATGGGTGGGTAACCAACATTGACCTAGAGGCTAAAGACATGGCAACATTCACACCAAATATGATCATTGTATTGGATACCATTTGTTCCTTACCTCACAGACTTACCTTATTCTACCTTTTGCTGTAGCAACCAGCTCGGGTCAGATGTCATTGAAAGGATCCCCTCTCAGCTTCACCAATTAGCTCTTGCTTCCTGCCCAGGGCTTCTTTGCCACCTCAATATTTAGTGTATTCTTTCATTATGCTAAAACTCAATAAAATGTTTCATTTTGCTTTCTATAAGAAACCATTTACTCTTCTACAGAAAACATCTGAAAAGTGGTTGTCAGAGCTCAGTGGTCACAGTGGCACTGGTGACTTTGAGGAGGCCGGTAGCAATTGGGATGGGAAATGGAGGGAGAAAGGTGGAGAGATGAAAGTGGGCAGGGCAAAGCCTCTCCATCTGGCAAACCCCTAACTCATCGAAGCAGATCAAACAGTTCAGTAAAATATGTTTAAGCCACCCTCAAGATGACTGCAGGCAATCCAAGCATGGAGATTTGGCTTTAACCAGATGAGGAAAACTGTAAGCCGGGTATGGTGGCTCATGTCTGTAATCCCAGCACTTTGGGAGGCTGAGGCAGGAGTATCACTTGAGGTCAGGAGTTCAAGACTGGCCTGGCCAACATGGTGAAACTGTGTGTCTACTAAAAAATATAAAAATTAACTGGGTATGGTGGCATGCACCTGTAATCCCAGCTACTCAGGAGGCTGAGGCAGGAGAATTGCTTGAACCTGGGAGTTGGAGGTTGCAGTGAGCCGAGATCATGCCACTGTACTCCAGCCTGGGCAACAGAATTGAGACTCTGTCCCAAAAACAAACAAACAAAAAACAGATAAACTTTAGATCTCCCTACCTGTGAAGTGAGCAGAACAGAAAAATATTTTTAGTCATTTTTTTCCCTTCACTGAGCCTGTTGTGGCTTGAAAATGTTGAGGTGCGATTTTTGCTGTAACTGCCTTACAAGGATTCTGCCTTGCAACCATCTCTCTTTCAAAAGGCTTGACTTTTTCTTGTTTACAGCAAGTTGTAGAATCGTAGTTGATTATATGTTATATTAGAGTGGGAAGGGGCCTTCGAGATCATTCAGTTCAGCGGTTCTTTTCAGAAGATGCTTAATGGTATGTCATAATCACACCCCTAGTTTGTGTCTGAGCCAGGTTTGTAACTCAGGTGGTCTGACTCCAAGTAATCCAAATTTTCTCACTATACAGGGTGAAAAACCACCTGTAGGGAACTGTGTAAGGGGAAATGATTTTGAAGTGTGAATTGAAGTAGATTCTCTGCTCCGGGTTTAGAATTCTACTGAAAACCAAGAACGAATGAACTAATACTTAGCTGTGCGAGAAAGGAATTCCAGGGGGATACAGCAATTGGTTTTTCTTTTCCCTTTTGCACCTCCTATTAATGTGAGCAGGATCTGCATTTTCCTGTTTTACAGATTCAACTACAAAGAAAGAATGATGAACAGAAGCTCTACTACTTCATAAAGAAGAAGAGGCCTTGATTAATAAATAACCTGACACCCTTTAGATGTTGCACAGGGAAAAACGGAGTGCCCCAATTTCTGGGAGTCACTGTACTTCACTTACCCTGGGGCCTGTTTTACAGGCATTTGCCTGCTTAGTTAATTGTAGTTATTCCCAAAATAAACCCCATTTTGTGTGGGACTCTTCTATTCTGAGGGAATGATGTAAGCAAGAATATTGGCTGGAGTATCTTGAATATCTGTGATGGATGGCTCCTCAGAATGAATCCTAAATCTCCAAGGGACCCCTTTTATCTTGTGATTTTGCTCACAGGTTCTAAGCTGCTGCTGGGAAGGGTTCCAGTTCTATATTCTCTGTCTTCTGGAAGCACTGATGAAATCACTCAGCTGCTATCCGCTTCCATCTCTCACTAAGCACCTCTTGGCTCTCCTTCGTCCCCACAGACTGAAAGCATGGAGGTGACTAATGAGATGTGTCTTCCCCTTCAAATTGTTCACAAGTCCCACATGACCTTTGGCAGGCAGGGATTCTACCGTGGTGCTTCTGACTGTGGATAAGGGGAAACTACGTGCTCACCACGGCTTGCTATTTCTCCTTGCTCCCGTGACCAGTGCGGCAGCTCTGTTAAATGGTCAGGCACGGTTTGTTGGTGGCTCCCAAACAATCCATCAGCAGTGGACGCATTATAGAAAACATGGCTTTGAGTCTTAGCTTAAACTATATTTATGTAGCGTGACAGTAGGAGAAATATCTAATTACGTGCTTGGATTACAATTCAAACAAAGGCCTCATGACTGGCTTGCAGATGCCGGGGTCCACACACCGTTTTCCAGAGAAGTCAAGATGGGAGAGGGTGTGATCTGTTCTGTCACGAACAGTTCTGTTTCCAGACCATTTCTCCAAGTCACTGAAGGCCCATTTCTGGGGAAATGATTACTAAACTGATGATTATTTTCTTTGTATTGCTGGCTATTCTCAACTTCAGGGAAAATGTAAAGTAGCTTTGGAGTTTAAGGAAAAAAAATGTGTACACAAAATGAGAAGCCACATCTGCCTGTAGCACTAGCAAAAATCAAAGAAGTCTGGCTTATTTCAACACCGGCCACCTCAAAACCAAATTAGTATTTGAATCAAATTAACGTATTTGACTCAATCACCTAAAAAATAGCTGTTGGATGAAAAAATAAAAGAGAAAATAGTGTCTAATTAGTGACTGGCCATTTTCAAAGTGGCTTCTCCTACATTATCTCATTTTTTAAAAAGTAAATTTGATCTTTTTAAATGTTAGAGTGAAGTGGTTCACAATTGCTTGAAATAAGCAAAGGACATTATATTTATAAGCATGCAAATTACAAACCAGGCAAAACAGTCTCTTCTGCTGCTTTATATATTTTTGTCAACCATCATAGATTCATGGAAAGGTCTCAAATAGATAGAACAAAATGGATTTTAAAAAATTGTTTGAACTTAGCGTGTTTTTCATTTCTTTCTCTCTCTGTCTTTGGTCTCAGTTTCTTTCTCTGGTACCTTCTCTTGAATGGTGAACTATTATTACTTGCATTTGGATAGATTATTATTTAGTTTGCAAAACATACAATTTTTCCACTCATTAAAATCTCATAGTTGCCCAACTTCATTAAGATAAATGGAATTATTCATCTGTTTCCCCCCTTTGGCTATGGGGTCAATGAAATGATGTTAAGCAGGAGAGGATAGGGTTGGCAAACACTTTCAAATGTCACTAAGTAATTTCAGGAAGGAGCTGGCCTGTCACTGTCCTGAATGATGGATATGCTCTTAACCTTAATGGCCATTAAAGATGTACATAATAACAGTTTGCATTATAACCATCACTGTTCAACACTTGAATTTTGTGACAGTTAAAACTAGGAGTGGACACTTCTGAAATCTGATTAAAATACACTGAGAAGTAAAAAACGGAACAAAGCAAGACAAACAAAACCCTGAGACTAACAAGCAGTCAAGGATGGCAAATGAAAAAAGAAAAAGAAACAAGAGTATAGCCAACTTGTTTTTTTAATTAGAGTATATTATACTTTCAAACTGGATACACTAGAAATTGGCAATGCAACATAAGATGCAAAGGAATATACCAGTTACTGTCAAAATGACCCTGTACAGCCTTGTAATGCAAAAAGCTTTATACAATACAAATTTTCAGTAATGTACACAAACCTTGACAGTATGATCATCTGAACATAATATGAAGAGTTAAAAAAAGGATAGAAGAAAGAAAGTGCTGAGAACCCTAACTGCATTACTATATGGAAAAATAAGCTAGTTTTCATTGAAGAATGCATAGTGACAACAATTGAAGTTAGTTGGTAGGTGAATTTCTCAAAGATGTTAGTGTTTTACACGGAAAGGATATCTATGGAATACATCCTTCCCTGAGTATCAAACTGCAAACCAAATTCAGGGGTACATATTTTCTAGGGTGGAGTCTGAAAAATGCTGTAGATTTTTTTTCTTTATTAATAACAATAATAATATAAAAAGTCAAACAAACTCCAAACACACCTTTTCTCACTCAGAAAACTTTTATAATTTACCAGAAAGATTGATGACTCTTTCCAAAGTGCTAAAAAAGTTGCCCAATTATATTAAGCATGACTAAGTCATTCAAATACAAGTTCAGTGGCAAGCAGTGAAATGCATGGCATTTGAGCAGTAAACGTCTCCTTCTTTCACCCCCTCTTGTTCTTGAAAGTTTCAATCCTAAGACCTCCTATTGCACAAGTGGCATGCTGTAAAACCTATAGTCCGAATTGTCAGGGCCACCCTTTCAGGGTTTTAACCCGCTGGTGCTTGAGTGTGATTCACCTTTTCTACCAGCCTCTGTGGGATCAGTTTAGCCCTCTTTCCTGTCATCACTGAACTTGTAATTTTGAAAACACATTATTAGCCAAGTGGCACATTCTCCATTATATGGGGATAAAGACATGACTCGAAAACAAAACAACCCAACCCACCCATAAGCCCAGTATTCTTGGAGTGTATTGTCCATAACTATCTATAGTGTCTTTTATTGAGACATTGATGTGGCGAGGTTGAACATCGTTTCAAACCCGGCCGAGAGCAAAGGTCTCTGCTGGAGAATGACTGAGGGTTTGGGAGCTTCCCGCCCTAGCTGGTTTGGCCTCCCTGTCCCTGTGGGCATCTCCTTAGTGTAAACAGATTTGCCAGGGCACCGAGCAGGCTCCCCATCCATGGCGGGATGACTGGCAAAGGGAGGTGTAGCATACCTGCTGGGTGTGGGGGAGAGGGGCTGGCATGGAGGGGACTGAGGAGACCATGGTGTGGACAGACAGTACAGTCTTCGGGCTTCCTGGAGAACTGTACTAATTCCCAGGGAGCTTTCAGCAAGGCAAACTGACTAGAGGAAGAACATTAGGGATGCTTTTATTTTCCCCTGGTGAAACAGATTTTTAAAAACCCCAACTCTTAGGATAACACATGATGGAAAACAGCAACACAGTAAGAAAGTGTTCCTCCTGTACACCAGTTCTCCAATAGATAAATTAAATATATAAACTTTTATATTCCAAACTTCCCATTATTATACAAAGAACATTTCTTCCTGCTCTTTCAGCCTGTTTCATACTGGAAATTCTGTTGTTTTAAAAATACAAGCAATGAACATACTCAGCCAAAGATTTTTTCCTTTTTTCTTTTTAAATCACCCATTACTTTTTAAGATTAGCAAAGGGCTTTACAACCAACCCACACCTGCTTCCTGCTGCAATAAAGTGCTGCACATAAATTGCCATTTTAATGACCACAAAATAAGAGCTTTTAAATAAGTATAAAGTTAGCCTCCTAGCAGGTTACATCTACCAGGCGTTAACAAAATGGAATACAGAATTACTAATAACATGGAGGATACCGCGATATAGCCAGAAGACCGGCAAAACGCAATGGAAACTTGTCAGGGGCATAAACTGAACCATAGGACTAAACAGCACCTTTTTGTTGCGTCATTATATGTCAAAGAGGTTGTGGCTAAATCTTCAAACATACAGTCTACTCATTCCGTAAAAAAAAGGTACATTTTCTTCCTTTCTACTTTTTTCAGATGAGAAACAAAAACTAGTGCAAGACCACAGCACTGTGCAAAACTGCCGTTTCTTTTTTTTAGTCTGAGCATTTATACCCAGAATTTATCCAAACCCCTTTTAATCTCCTTGGCTGGATTTATCAACCATAAATTTTTTTCACTCATACATTTCTTTTTCCTGCAAACAAATGGTAACCACTGAATTAATACATCATATATATATATATAATCTGCCCTTAAAAAATGATGCACTGTGTGTGTGCACCGTACACATTTGTCTATGTGTGGGCACACACACAAAACACACTTAAGTTCTGTGATGTTTGCTGCAGTGCTGCAAGATATTTCTTCCAGATCAGTCACTCGATTCCTCGCCTCTTCATCGCCAGAGAAGATCTGAGTACAAGGTCTCCAGCGCTCTGGTGGAAATCTCCAGCAGCACTGTAGATGTCTACCATTCCTTCATCGACTAAGCACCAGGCCCTACCACTCTGTAGCCGTCAAAGAGAGAGGGAAAGGTGATGAAGGAGCACAGGGAGAGACTGTCGTGGATGAACAACCCAGGAGGGAAAAGAACGTTCATCGCTGTTAAAGAAGCCAGTACAAAGAATGTGCAATAGAAATGTCATGGCACACGACACACGGCTTTCTCTTTCAGAATCCACAAACGCCCACACACCACATTCACCCAACAGAAAACCAAATGCACCAATATATAAGCTTACAAGTGCTGATTGCTATTAAGGACACTCTCTTTAGGGTTTAACAAGACAAGATTCCTTTCAGAGAAAAGTACGGAGAAGGGCTGAGAGTGGGAGTGGGTGGCTGGGGAGGCATGCCTCTGAAGGTAGAAGTATGCAGTAGGTCACCTCTCTGAAGATTGGATAAAGCAGCTTTCAGGTCAATGCAATAGGTATACACACAGAGCCAATTCTCTATTCCTTACTAAAGATATACAGTACACATGTTTCAGACCCATGGGGGTCTGTAGGTTTTGCAGCAACATACACCTGCTGGGGTTGTGTTTAAGTTTTGTGGGTTTTTTTTTTGTCTTTTGTCTCTTTGTTTTTGGTACAGAACATGGCTGCCCTCAGACAGTCTCTGCTCTTTCTCTCAGTCCCAGATAGGCGAGGAAGGAGTGTTTGGGTGAGGGGATGCTGGGAGGCGCAGTCTGAGGTCGGGGAGGGTGGAATGTGAGATCCAAGTGGTTCTTGGGGTATAACATTGTCAAGGGAATGAGATGGGCAAAATCTGAGTTCCGGTACTTGTCAAAGCGCAAAGGGGAGCCGTTGAAGGCCAAAGCCTTGAGTGCCAGGTTGGGCTCTGAGCTGCTGCCGTGGGCTGCTGTCAGGGCCACGGTCTGCAGAGCCTGGGAAGCGGACATAACCGACAGGGGAGACAGGAGATTCCGGGAGCTCCCGACCACCAGGAGCGGGGCCCCCGGGCCGGCCGGTTCCTTGGGGGCTGGACACAGGCCCTTCTTGTCCTCCTCGGGGCAGTCCCCACTCTGGTGCTTCTTGACGTGGCGGCTGAAGACGAAAGGGTGTGTGGTCTTGAACAGGCACTCTTCGCAGCTGAAGGTCTGGCGTGGGGCGTGCTTCAGCTTCTTGTGCAGGTTGAGATTGTCCTTGCGCTTGCAGCTGTAGCTGCACTGGTCACAGTGGAAGGGCCGCTCCCCGGTGTGGACGCGCACGTGCTCGATGAGCTTGTTGGCGGTCTTGGACAGGTAGCCGCACTGGTCGCACTTGTAGTGGTTGCCCAGGCGGTGCTCCCGGGTGTGCGTCTCCAGCTCCAGCTGGTTGGCCTTCACCGTCTGGCAGATCCGGCACTTGTACTCCATCTTGTAGTGGGTCTTGAGGTGGCACTCCATGGCAGCGGGGCGGTTGGTGGAATAAATGCAGAATGGGCACCTGCCGGGGGAAGCAACGCAAGGCAGGTTCAGCCGGAGAGGTTCGGAGGCAGCCGCGCTTCTCCCCGCCTCACCAGCCTTCCCTCACACCACCCGCCAGTGTCTGAGGCCTGACCTGCCCAGCCCAGCCCAGCCCTTGCCGCCTCTCAGGGGTGGAACGGCCCTTTTTGGCTCTCCCTGCTGACAGAGCAGTCCCCGCTGACAAGCAGCCCTGGCGAGTTCCGCTCAGCCTATTCTGGGTCTCCCGGCCGATACAGGCAAGGCCAGCCCTCACCAAGGGGAGCAGAGAAAGTGCCAGGAATCAATTTGCTGGTGCTCCCCTCCAGCCCCCGCCCGGCCCCTCGGAGCCCTCCCCACTCCCGACCAGACAGCGCAGAGGTCTAAACCTCCTGACCTCCCCTCTAGATGGGAGCAACACAAAGAATCGACTTTTCATGCACCACACCAAGCACACGCAGAAAGGCTAAGAGGTTTTAAAGAACAGCTTATAGGGGGAGCGCTACCTCCAGCAAACAGAAAGTCACAGGGGTCAGAATCGTGCTTATTAAGGGGTTGTTAGGATGAGAAGGCCTGTGTGTGTATCTCTGTGTGAGTGTGTGCGTGTGTACATATCTATGTACTCGTAAAACATATCTCCCTGCAGGACTGGCTCTTTGTCAGGAAAGGAAGCTGAGGACTATGGCAGGGGCATGGGAGGAGAAGGAAGCCCACCCAACGGCCCATCTGCTAATGAGGAAGGGAGGAAGGAGGGAGACAACTGCTATCTGGAGCTCAAAGACATTATTAATACATGATTATGCTGGAGACAGGATAATAATCCAACTGGATTGGAAATTCTCAGAGGGCAGAACCGTATCTTACATTTCCTCTGCATTCTCTGCAGTGCTTGGTAGAGTAGTCAGCACATGGTAAGCACTCAGGACATACTGGTTCATTATTTGAGTGGTCTCTACAGGCAATTTAGGTAGATTCTGGAAGGGCGGATGCTGGTCCCATCTCCATCACCTTGTCAGGCTGGAGCTGGATACCCTAGCCTGGGCCTCTCTGTGGCTCAGTTTCTCCATCCTTTGCGGTGAGGCTATGCTACCACCAACCCTCCTGGCTGTCCAGAGGGGCCACGAGGAGTGGTGAGGCCATGTTAACAAACTCCGCTGAGCTTCTCTTTTAGAAGCTGCCAGGCTGGAGTCAGTGGCATATATGAGAACTGTAGCGTGTTTGCTCTCTTTCCACAAAGAATGCAAATGCAAAAGTGGCTGCCTCAGCTCTTGCTTGGCTCCTGCAGGGCAGGGCCCAGGAGTGGACTGTCCTCGGAGGGTCTGGAGAGGTGTTCAGCAGAGCCCAACACAACCAAGTGCACCGTGCACGGCCTCCTCAGCGCCAAGCTCGCCGTTAGCCTTTGAACCTCAGCTCACAGAAGAGTGCACACGAGAGAAATATAAAGCCCATTCCCAGGTCAGGTGCACACACAACCCCTACGCCAAGCTGGGCCTTACCTAGAGGAGTCTGAAACTCACCACTGTCCTGAGCTACGGCAAAAGAAAAATAATAGTATAATCTTATTTGATCTGCATTATGAACAGGATATAGAGTACAAGCAGTTCCATCACAGAAAAGCAATTTAGACATCAGCAGTCTGTTTCATTTTAAGGACATTTCTGTGACCCACAGCTCAATCTTTCTTTCACTGCTCAGGCAAAGTGCTAAGGGTTTTCCGTGCTCCCGTTATTTTCTTAAAGACACTCTCTCAGGCAAATTAATTCTCTGATATGGCAAAGGAAACAAAACAAAACAAAACAAAGACTCACTGTATAGCCAGAAGGCATTATCAATTTTTTCAAAGTATTCTTCTACTTGGTCATCCTAGAACATAAACTATTACACAGGGGACGGTTAGCACCGCACGGGAAGTGTCTGTACCAGCAAAAGCATCAGAGTTCACTGTGCATTCTCCCCAATGGCTTCAGAGGCTTGGGACTTTGGAGGTCCCTGAGGAAAGGCGAACTGGCAAAGCCACAACTGGCAGGGGCTGCAATGTTCATGGGTGTGATTGGGCTACTGGGAAGGGCAGTGAGCACTGGTCCAACCATAGAAAAACATGGTTCTGGTGTTTCTTTTTAAAATGAGAGCACACAAATATTTATAAAGGGACAGTGGGAACAAACCAAATCACATCCCCAAATAAGCTCTCGCTAGGCATTTTCCATCTACTGGTTTCCTTGAATTATAATCACCCCCTCCCCAATCCCTTCTGCCCTCCCCTCCCCCTCCCTTCGAAGCACCCCCATGAGTGAAACAAAATGGAGTTCAACGGTAGGTCCTGTTCTTCCCTGATTCTCCTGTGTGGGGGAGTTTTTGAGGAGGCAGGGGCCTGGGGGGACCCAGCCTGCACTGCCCCCAACACTCCACTCCCAGGGTCCTTTCCATCTCTCTCTTCCTCAGCCATCTGGGGGAGTCATGCCACCTCTCTGGCAGGTTGCGAGTTTCAATGATGAACACGTTTTAAAACAAAAGGTTTTTTCCCCCTCGTGTTAAGTAAATGTAATTTTTCATTCAACGTGATCGTTTAGCTGAGAATTAGTAATTATGCCTTGAAAACTGTGTCTTTCTGTGTCCTCCTACCTGTGCTGCTTTCTCTTTACCAGACCCTAAGTGCCTTGTGAACAGGGACTCTGATTTCACCGTGCAGATTAGGTAGTACTAGGACATACATTTCTTGAGGGTGGAAATGGTGTTTTATTCCTGTGTGCCCATTAGCACCTATTATCAAGCCAGACACACAGTGTGTTTGATATTAATTGATTGGTTTCACTTGAGACCAAAGAGCCTCTTGAAAATACTGGTTAAAGATGATGCTCGTTGTCTAGATCTTGGGAAGAAGACATCAGTATGTTTGCAGGAGGACCATGAAGCACATGATCTTTTCATGAAAAATGTTGCCTCCTGCCTGTTTAAACTGTCCAATTTTGGAGGATGGGGTGGTTGTAATGCTTACTTAAAGGATATGTAGGAAGCCATCGGAGAAACAGAGATGGTGAGTCTCGGTGACAGTATGATTTATGCTTGGGGACACTAAGCCCTGAGTCCATCAAAATTAAGTCTGAACAAAACTCAGGCAGTGTAGGAGGAGTCTGTTCTTGCAAGCTGGGTTGTTCCAACGTGTCTTTTTTCTTGCTCTGAATCCCGGGATATTTACAAAATGGATTCTTCTACTGACATCTGTTGACACCCTAGGGGCACAGGGCTAATTCAATCCAGCTAAAGGCAGCAGGGGTTCCTGACTAACTCCCCTCATACCAAGCTTCCCTTCTCCATGACTCCCAAAACCTTCATGGGAAGGGACAGGGTAGGGAAGGGGAAAGGGTATTTAATAACAACGCAGTAAAAGGTTCTGTACTTGCTTTCCTTACTTGAGCCCACCGGTGGGGACAGTGTGGCATTTCTTATGCTCCAGCAGCTGTTCGGGGGTCTTCATGAACTTATGGCACACATCACACTCAAACATCCGGGTGATGAGGTGTATCTGCAGATGACGCTCAAACATGTTCTTCGTCTTGCAGACAAAGTTGCAAAAAACGCATTCGAACCCTGCAAGGACCGAAGCTGGGTATAGAGGTGCACAGGGCAGCGGGGAGAGGAGGGCAGGAGTGGAGCCAAGCTCCCCCTTCCTCGCACCTCCTCAGACGCCTGACAACTATACCCTTCCAGGCACTGTTCCCCATATCTCCGTGCAAAAAGGAGTTAAATGTACAAACATCAGAATCAATGTCACCCTCCCCATCCTTCCACCCCATATTCGAATGCAAATTAAGCCAAAAGAAATGCAAACTTTAGGTGAGGCCCAGTATACTGCATCCTGGGCCTATTATCAGTTTCTGACATTGCTCCTGTCCAGGGCTTATTCTCAAGAATAGGTCATCCTGGGTGCAGAGGGTTGAGCAGGCTCACACCCAGCTCCTCCTTACCTTTCTCTGGTTTTTCCTCACTGTTCAGTGAGGGCTGGCTCCCAGGCATGACAGAGATGACCAGCAGGTTGTTCCCACCCTTGTTTTTCTGGGAGCCATCTGAATCATCTTTGCTGTTGGCCGAATCACTCAGAGCTGAGAGGGAGGATGAAGAGGGGCTATTTGATTCGCTGGGGGTCTTCCTGTCTTCCCCTAAAAAATAAGCAAATAACCCAGTCTGTTACTGAGATGAAAATCCTCAGAATGATAGCAACTGAGGGTGACGAGTTGAGTCTCACGGATGCATCATCATTCTGGGAGCACAGACTCATGTCCCCAGCTCCCCCACCACTGAGGGATCCCAGGCCCTAAGGCACCTACCCACTTTGTGGTACTGGGGGCCAAAAGCAGGCATTCATTCATTTGAGAAGTGTTTATTAAGGTCTTACATGAATTAAAATAAAATGACAGTAATAGCTAAGATGTACTGAACATGTTACCGCTTTCCAGGAACTGTGTTATACTTTAAATTATCTCATTTTGTTTTTTCAAAAATCCTATGTGGCACAACGGTTACCCACCCCATTTTATGACGAGGGAAGGGAGTCACAGAAAGGTTCATCTGGCCTAGATCATATGGCTGGGAAGTGGTGGAGAAGAGGTTTGAGTTGGTCTGACTCCAGGGTCCATGCTCTTCATCAGTACACTGGACCCTCTCCCTCAAAGCCAGACACAAACGAGTCAGCAGGCCATTAAAATCTAGTGTCAGAAGACTTCTGCTTCTACTCAAGAGAGAGTGTCAGGGACTGGGTTTACCATTACTACTAACAACTGAAAAAAAGTCAGACAAAATATACCAAATGCTAGTTTTCATATCACTGGATGTTAGGCAATGAAGAAAAGTGGTCCCTGAGAGACAGGAAACAAAAGAGGTGAGCCACATGACTGATCAGTGTCCTGCCTTGAAACTCTCCAGGCTTCAGTGCAGAGAGGAGGAACCAGGTGGAACCTGACAGACGCCCTGAGTGGAGGAGACAGAGCTGACGGTCTGACCAGACTTTGCAAGACGGAGTATCAGAGGGGAAGGGCAGCACAAGAAACAACTCCAGAGACACAGAGAGGGTCCTCCTTGAGTATTCAGCAAAGTATGGATCAGAGCATGGGGATGAAGAAACTACCCATAGTTGGAGGGGGAAAAGCCACCTGAAAGGCTTAGAGAACAGTGCCCGGCACTCAGAGAGGGCTAGAAATAATGCCTGTTTCTACTAGTCAGATTGGAAAAACACGTAATTTACAGGGCATTAGGTGGAAAACTAAGAAAGGTCTCTTAGTAGTGGGTTAAACCTAGATAAATCACTGCCTAGTGATCTAGACCTGCCAAAGAATCATGAAAGCAAGACCCCAAAGGAATGAGGTTTCCAGGTAGCTAGCTGCATCTTAAAACAAAGGTCAAGAATATGTATAGGAATATAAAATATTAAGCACCCAACATGGTAAAAATCACAATGTCTGCATCCAAAGGTGATCAGATGTGTAAAAAGATAAACACAATTCAAATTGAGAATTATCAACCAATCAAAGGTGACCCAGAACAGACACAGTTGTTAGACTTTGCAGACAAGGACATTAAAACAGTGGTGACTGTATTTCATATGTTCAAGAAGTTAAGCAGAGACATGGACGATATTAAAAAGATCTAAATAAAATTTCTACTGATGAAAACTGCAGTGTCTGTTGCCAGCAGTAATCCCATTAGACATGGCAGAGGAAAAGATGAGTAAACCTGAAGATAATAGCTACAGAAACTATCTGAAAAGAAACAGAGAAAGGAACTCCCCCAAATGAAAAGAGCAACAGTGACCTGAGGGATGCCTTTGGGAAGCTTAAAATAAGTTTAATTGGAATCCCTGGTGGGGGGGGGGGGAGGGCAGAGATTTGAAATGGCCAAAAATTTTCCAAATTTGAGGAAAATCATAAACCCATAGCTCAATGAACCTCAAGAAGAAGCTCAATGAACCTCAAGCAAAAGAAACACGAAGAAACCTATACAAAGGAACATCATAAATTGCTCAAAATCAGTGCTAAAGAACAAAATCCTAAAAGTAGTCAGAGGAAGAAAGATATGTGCAAAGGAGCAAAAGCAAGGACGACAGTGGATTTCTCACTGGAAACTATGCAAATAAGAAGACTGTAAAGCAGCATCTCTAAAGTACTGAAAGATATACTGCCAACTTAAAATCTTATACCCAGTAAAAATATATTTCAAAAATGAAGGCAAGAAACAAAAGCTTACATTAAAACAAATGAAGGAATTAATTCATCACCAGCAGACCTGAATTACAAGAAATGTTCAAAGCCCAGGCAGAAGAAAATGAAATCAGATATAAAACTGATCTACACAAAAGAATGAGGAGGCTGGAAATAATAAACACATGGATAAATTCATAATTTTTTAATTATTGAAATATCTTTAAAAGATACAAGTAACATTGTTTAAACAAAAGTAAGTGTTTTATAGGGTTTATAAAACATTTTTTAAGTAAACATATGACAATAGCATAAAGGCTAGGAGGAGAGAAATGGAAGTCTACTAGTATGAGCTTCTTCTACAACATATGAAGTGGTTTAATCAATTAACTGAAGTTCTACTGTGATAAATTAAGATGTACTTTTTTTTGGAGACAGGGTCTCACTCTGTTGCCCAAGGAACGTACAGTAAAGTGATCTCAGCTCACTGCAACCTCCACCTTCTGGGTTCAAGCAATTCTCCTGCCTCAGCCTCCCAAGTAGCTGGGATTTCAGGCATGCGCCATCATGCCTGGCTAGTTTTTGTATTTTCAGAAGAGACAGGGTTTCACCATGTTGGCCAGGCTGGTCTTGAACTCCTGACCTCAAGTGATCTGCCCACTCTGGCCTCCCAGAGTACTGGGATTACAAGCATGAGCCACCGCACCTGGCCTAAAGATGTACATTATAAACCCCAAGTAACTGGAGAGCTAGACTTTGTTCCTGGTTCAAGAGACTTGAGAATATTAAGATGTCAGTTATCCACAAAATGATTTATAGATTCAATGTGACCCCATAATTGTAGGTTAAGGGAGAAAACATAGGGAGACTATTCTTCAGTTCCCTTTAAATCAGTTAATTAAGCAATCTAGTGACTGTAAATGTTAGAACCTAACTTCCTTTATTAGGAGATTAAAAAATAAGTCCAGCCTGGCCAACATGGTAAAACCCCATCTCTACTCAAAATTCAAAAAATTAGCCAAGTGTGGTGGCATGTGCCTGTAATCCCAGCTACTTGGGAGGCTGAGGCAGGAGAATCACTTGAACCCGTGCAGGCAGAGGTTATGGTGAGTGGAGATGGCACCATTGTACTCCAGCCTGGGCGACAGAGCAAAACTCTGTCTCAAAAAAAAAATATATATATATATATACATACACACACACACACACCATGTGTATATACACACACACACACACACACATATACACACACACACACTTCTAGAGTGTAAAATTATTGGTGTTGTGTTTACTTTTATTCCATTTTCCAAATTTTCTAGAGTGACCACATTTTTTAAAGTTTTTAAAAAGAGAAAGGAAGAAATATGTATCCACTTACAATGTTTTCAAATCCTGTTCCTGTCAGAACTGCACTTAGGGTCCAGGGCAGATAACTCTTACTTCGGTTCACAATTTTAAAAATCTTGCTTCTATTAGAACTGCAAGTGTGTGACCTCAGTCACTGATCATGAGGAACAATGGCGTATGACTTTAGACTACAGACTCCTCTCTTGGTACAAGAAAGCTGTGTGAAAACTAGTACCATTATTGACAGTTGCTTATCTTATATATTTAGCCAGCTTAGTTACATTTTCTAGATAGAACATTTTCAGTGGAGACCCTGAAGCCCTGATATTGCAACTCCATCTTCTAATATTGGCCTGTTGCAAGTGATTCTTTTAAATTCGTTTTTAGAATTAAAACATATTAATTTCAACTACCATCTCTAAACATAGATTCAAGTACCCTTAGGCTTAAGGCACAGGCAGAAATACCTAAATTAATAAATTTATAAAGATACAATGTGCTGTGCCAGCCGCTCTGTGATGCAGCCCAGCCTGCTCAATGTGTAATCTCTAGCCCAAACAGCCTCCCCTGTTTCTGTCCTCATCTTGTTTTGCTATGTCTGTGGGAAGAGTCATGGTGCCCTTGCCAGCCAAGTCCAAGGCTAACTGTGACCCAAGTGATCATTTACCTTCTTCAGCATCACAAAGATCTTGGTGAAGGACACCTGTGCACAGGTGATGCAACTTCACACACTAGGACAACTAGCTGAAGAGAACTTAAAACACAAAACGAAACCCCTAAATACTACACAATTTAAAACATCACAAATTAGGAAATTGAAACCATAAAAAAAATTACCAATCATCTTGCTGCCTCAATACAGGCACTGTTACATTTTAGAGTACTTCTTTTCATTCTTAAAAAAGTAAGCACTTCTACTTTTAAGTTGTTTCCATTAAGGTTAAGAATAAAGACTCTAGATCCAGGCTGGGTGCAGTGGCTCATGCCTGTAATCCTAGCACTTTGGGAGGCTGAGGCGGGTGAATTGCCTGAGGCCAGGAGTTTGAGACCAACCTGGCCAAATGGCAAAACCCCATCTCTATTAAAAATACCAAAAAACAAGCTGGGTGTGGTGGCCCCTGCTTGTGATCCCAGCTACTCAGGATGCTGAGACACGAAAATTGCTTGAACGTGAGAGGTGGAGGTTGAAGTGAGCCAAGGTCACGCCACTTTACTCCAGCCTCAGCAACAGAGTGAGACCCTATCTCAAAATAAATAAATAAATAATAAAAATAAAAAATAGATCAAAAAATAGATCAGAATACATGAGTGTGAATCTCACCTCTACCACTTAGTAGCTGTATTATTTTGAACAAGATACTTAACTTTGTGCCTCAATTATCTCATCTATAAAATGGGGATGATATCAGCACTTGCCTCATATGGTTGTCGTGATAATTAAATAGGTTTTTATATGTAAATCACTAAGAACAATGTCTGGGATCATGGTAAGCATTATAGAAAATATTATTATTCTATTATAAAACATACATAATAAAATGTAATAATAATGATAACTAATACTTTGTATTTTCTCATGCTATTTTAGATATTTGTACATAGTTGGCTCTCAAAAAATTCATGAAAATATTTGCATTGTTTTAAATGATTGTATTATATCCGTGGAGGGGATTAGTCTACTTAAATAGTTTCTTAAAATTAAACTTAAAGTTAAAATTAATATTTCACTGATTGAATATTTTCCCATGAATAAATTCCCAGAGATGGGATTACTGGGTCACAGGGCATTACATTTTAAGCCTCTTGGTATATACAGCTTAATTAGCTTCCAAGGAGTTTTACCACTCTGCAGGGCAACAGCAATGTGAGTACCAGCATCATCCCAGCAACAGTGAGTATTAATACCAAATGTTCTCCTAACTTAACAGGTGGAATATAAGCCTCGAGTTTTAGTTGGACTGCCAGTGAGGTTGTATGTGTTTCCTTATGTAAGTGGTTAGCTTTTATTCCCTTCATTGTGAATTGACTGCTCATGTCCTCATATCCTCTGCTAATTCTTCAATTAGAGGCCTAAAGATTTTCTTAACAGTTTATAGGAATATTCCATGTGGTAAATATATTAACCTTTTGTCATTTTTGTAAACACATTTTTTCAGACCCAGGTTTTGGTTTTGCTTCTCTTTTTCTGTTATTTTTTGCAAACTGAAGAAATTTTTATGTGTCAAATCTCTTGATTGTTTTCATTTGTGCTTTATTTTATCACTTAAGCTTTTACAAATCCTTCTCGCTCTGTAAGCTTGATAAATATTCTATTTTCTTCAGGCTTTTCTAGGGCTGACTTGTTAATAGGGATTCTGTAAGTTATCTGGAATTTATTTTGGTGCCAATGTGAGGTGAGGTATTGATGGCTGTATTTTCCAAATAGCCATTCAGATTCCTCAATGCCATTTATTGCAACATTTAGAAATTGCAGCAAAATTTGCATTGAAGAAGTCACAAGCACCAGACGGGATATTTTCCCCTTGTTGATATTCTCTGCAGGGACAAGATACCAGAAGGTGGGAGAAAGGTGAGGAGGGGTCACTATACGGAAACGCCTAATGAGAGGACAGTTCCTCAGGTACCCCCTTAACATCCCACTCACAGGCATGCCTGGAGTAGCAGAAACCCATAAGAAAATGTGAGAAAGCATGGGTTCTGTAGGAAACTAAACAAAATGTGTGCTGTTGATTAGAGCTCATCCTGGAGATCACAACTTCACTTAGGTAACAAGATAGCGTGGCAGATTTCCTAAGGTACTGAAATAATAGGTGACTTTTCCTAAGACAGGAAAATCAAATTAGAGAACAAGGCTCATAGAATTAGAGAATCTTAGGCCTAAGGGCATCTCCTGCACATCTGAAAATACAGGGAACAGATGGAGGCCCAGATAAGTTAACTGAGGTCCTACATTCACAGTACTACTGATGGTACTATAGGGTCTAGGACCTGGATCTAGAATTCAGTGTGTGCTTTCCTCCATGCCAAGTAACTGCCACATAGATTACAGAAATAAGTCACTAGGACTCTAAGGTTCAAGCAACGGCCGCGTCTGAGTAGTTTTCTTACTTAGCACGCACAAAGGTGCATAGATGAGCTTGCACACAAATATATTCATTCACTGAAGGAACACTGATTCCCCACTTGTACTGTAGGGCCTGTTCCAGGTGCTGAGATACAGCAGTGAGTTAGACAAGCTCCCTGTTCTCGGGAATACATACTGCTATATATGTCATATAACAAAAAATTGCTTTTTATGTCATATAGCATATATATTGCTTCATATCATAACTTTGCAATAATCCAACTTACTAATTTACAAATTTAGATTGATCTATTTTGGGTGAAACTCAAACACCTCAAAACTATACTAAAAATAGGAAACCCTTGCTGTGAGACCATTAGCTTATAACAGGGGTCAGCAAACTACAGTCCTTGAGCTCAAATGAGCCTCCTGTTTTTAGAAATAAAGTTTTATTGGAACATGACCACGGCCACTCATTTGCATATTCTCTAGGACTACTTTCAAGTTTCAACAGCCGAGTTGAGTACTAGTGACAGAAACTGTATGACCTGAAAGCCTAAAATATTTACTATTTGCCCCTTTGAAAAAAGCTTGCAGGGCCCTGGTTTATAAACTAGGTTTTAACCTTATTCTTAGAGCAGCAGCAGCATTAAAGGCTCCTACTGAATTAAAAAAGAAACTTCTTTAATGCATTTCACTCTTGGGTGACTGTACTAACAAACAAGATATTCTTTCCTGCTAGACAATGAGCCCTGAGCCCTGCTACATCAGAGAGAACACGATCTTTACTTCATTCCCTGTGGTAATTACGAGGTATGTGTTTGCACTGGTTAGTTGTGAAGTTTCCACTCATGACAATTAAGCGATGACAAGTCCAGCTTCTTCCTAGTCATTTGGTTTCTATGGTTTCCATATGGTGGTATGGGCGTGGAGGGGGCTTTGGAGTAGGATGGGAGGGAGGAAGGTTTTCAGCTGGGTTCAGGTATACTTTGGGGTAAAGAGGGTTAGAATGAAGGTTAACAGAAAGGAGAAAAAAAAAAGACTATCTGAAAAGCCAGTGGTAATGGAAAAGAGTTTGGCCTTTTCCTCCATCAGCCACTCCAGAAATGCTGAATTTAATTTGTCTTCAACATGGGTTTCCCAGCTCACCTGCTGCCCACAGGCTAATGTGGTTACAGTCAGACAACTGACTGTAAAAATGGCACCTTCTCACTCAGCATAACAGCTCTCTGCAGACCTCCAAGTCATAGCTGCTCAATTTACTGACAAAAACAAGCTTTTATTACTGTTGGCACCACTGAGCCAAAGTGGCCAGAGAAGCATAGAGAGATCCTTCTCTGCCGTGTACATCGTCAGCACAACTGTCAGGGAAATTCCCCTTCCCGAATCCTTCAAGCGCTGATGAAGTGAGGGGCTGATCCAACACCCAGGACTGGCAATCAGCAACATCAGCTCTTAATTTGTAAGCCCCGCAAATGCAGAGGGAGCTCCTCCTCATTCTCACTTAATGACTCCTTGCTGGTATCATTTGTAACCATCACTTGTGAGCGTATAATTGCATGGTGAAGTCAGAATGTTAACATCAATAAATGGAAGAAGTTAAGCAGAATGGCAAGAAGCTTAAATAACAGGCGAGCACTGGTGAAGCCTTGGCCATGGCCTAGACAGTGATGGGTTTGTTTCAGGAGAATCTGGTTTTCTTTGGCCGTGAACACACATGCCATGCGTCATTAAGGAGAGCGTCAGGGCTGCAGTTTCACTGGAGAGGAACGGAGCCTACGGAAGTAGGTGTGCAGTGCCCTGGCACGGGAAAACAGAAAGGTTCAAAGCTCTGCCAAGTGTTTCTCGGGGCTGTCAGAACAGCAATGATACAGAGAGCAAGCTCTGGAATGAAAACTGTTCTGGGCTGAGTTTCAGTAGTCACTGAAACTAGTGACTGCAGCAACCCCTAGTTGCTGACCTTGGATGGAATACCCCACCTCCGTTAAGCCTGTTTCTTCACCTGTACTGTACAGTGTGATAACAGTAGTATTCGCTTAGAGGGTTGCTAGGGGCTTAAATGAGAGCCAGTGTGCAAAGGCGTAAGACTGGGGCATTGAAAGACTATCACATATGGTGATGAAGAAGAGGATCAGGATGAGCAACAAGCAAAGAGCTCAGCACCTCTCAACCACATCTGAACTTGGGAGTCTTTCAGAGCAGTGAGGCACAAGGCGTGCCAGGAAACAGTATTATGACTACAGGGCAATGTGGCTCTCATGCCTTGGGAAAGTCCTTCCTTCCATGGAAGGAAAGGGCAATGTCTCAGGGTGGTGGGGATGCTTCGGCCAGGTGGCAGGTGCTCTGGGGTGCAGGGGATGGAGGAGGAGTGTGAGAAGGACAGACAGGAATGGTCACCTGTGTGCTTGGTGCCAATGTGAGTCTTTATCTCTGCTTCCTCCATGGTGACGAAGTCGCAAGCAGTGCAGCAGATTGAAAACATCCACTGCTCCTTGTCCACGTGGAGTGACATGTGGCTGACAAACTGGACATTGAGCTCTGTCTCAAATCCACACACGTGACAACTACATGAAAGGGTAAAAGAAAAGAGGGGGAGAGAAAAGGGTGACACATACTTCTAAATGTGGGCTGTCCATTTATACACAGTACACTCAAGAAAACTGGAATTTGAAACACATTTGTCTTTCCACCAAAAGGTTTTGCATTAGAAAATTCTTCTGCTTTCTGGGATGCCTCTAAAGTAATCACTGTGCCAAAGAGACTAAGGCCCAGCATCATGTAACAATCACATATGTGTTATAACGATGCTAAATAATCATAAAGTTAATTTAAAACCATGGATTCCAGATGCTGCACATCACCTAACTGATTTCCTTTGGGCAAAGAGATGCGGGGTAGCGTTGCCAAGGTATTTAGTGGTGCTGGTACACTGATAAACTCGGAGAGCACCTCACAGCCCAGGAGCCTCTCTCTGGCTCTGGAAACCTTCCCTAGTAGCAATGAAAGCACATACAGTTTGTTGTATGGCACTCCAAGCAAGAGGCTACTCTATCTGGGACAACTCCTGATAGAAGCCACCCATCCCTAGAGACATTCCTGCAAAAGGAAGTTTCCACCAATCAGTATGGCATATCTCTAGGGCAAGATCTGATAGACAGCCAGAAACTTGGGGGTTTTATGACAATCAAACCAATATTGATTCATGATTGAATACAGAAACGAAACATAAAATCCAGGTACTAAAGGGTGATACAGCCAAGGGGAAATATGTAATGCCTCTGGGCTATTTCTCTGGGGTTCTCAGATTTACATGTCCTCAGCTTTTTTTTTTTCTTTTTTTTTTTTTAAACAATTCTTAGGGAGCAGCAACACACTCAGTTACAAAGGTTGGAGCTTCTGAGCGGAACAGACCTAAAAATTCATCGTCCCCAGAGCCCAGTCACTGTCTGGAGCTCCACCCCAGAGAGCCACCTCTAAGACCATTTCTCTTTCAATTAATACTACCAGGGGCACCCAAGCCAAGAGAGGAGTCTGTGCAACTGCAGGGCTCAATCTAAGCAACGAAATTACTCAAATGAAGGCCAGGCTATGACTGAGAAAAGGAGCCTCGTGATGTATGCCCACAGCAGACACGTAGGAAACGTTGAAGCCAAGAGTCTGAGAAAGGCAGACTAGCATGTTCATCTGCAACTCACCTGTAATAATAAGGATGTTTCTTCCCGTCACTGCCTTCAGAGGTGACGGCGCTGACAATGTCCTCGGTGTCTGTACTCACCAGCTTCACGGAATGGACAGTCAAGTGCTGGTTCAGATTTGCACGGCACTTAGCAGCATAGGGGCACAAGTGGCATTTGTATTTTCTTTCCTCTGGGGGAGAAGGAACAGGAAAAAGCCCAAATTGTTTTCAAAAAGGAAGTCCCAACACCTTGTAAGAATCACTTAAAGGTATAAAGGAAAGAATGGTTCAAGTCACATCTCAGATGGCAACAATGGTAATGCCTTGGAATTGTAAGTATCTAAAAGTTTTTGCCCAGCAGGTCACTCCTGTATTAGTACTTTTAAATATCTCCGGCTGGGCACTGTGGCTCACACCTGTAATTCTAGCACTTTGGGAGGCGGAGGCAGAAAGATCCCTTAACGACAGGAGCTCGAGACCAGCCTGGGCATCACAGCGAGACTCCGTCTCTACAAAATTTCTTTAAAAAATTAGCCAGGCATGGTGGCACATGCCTGTAGTCCCAGCTACTTCGGAGGAGGAGGTGGGAGGATTGCTTGAGCCCAGGAGGTCAAGGTTACAGTGAACCATGATCACATCACTGCACTCCTGCCTGGGTGACAGAGGTAAATCTTGTCTCAAACAAAACAAAACAAAACAAAACAAAAAAAGAAAAAAAAGTCCCAGGGCAACTAGAATAGATAACCTGCCCTTTTTTTTTTTTTTTTTTCCTGGACACCCACAGCCCCTTTTCCTGATAAGGTAAGCCCCATACAGGCCAAAATAATATTTTGTGCGTGAACAAGTGTGTGTGTGTGTGTGTGTGCACCCCATGTTTCAGTAGTGGGCGGGTGCTGAGCAGGGGAGGGGGAATGAAACACAGCATTTGCAGGACTGCAGTGTAAAAGAGGCCTCATCATTTTCCCTAAGCTCCTGGCTTGGGTCAGCCAAGAAATTAAAAAAAAAAAAACTAATGAAATTAAGGGGAAAAAATGCTGTGTGAAATAATTTAATTGGAAATTTCATTTTACATAAATAAAATAAAGAATTTCAATTAATTTCTTAATGGAAACCCTCTCATAAAACTGACAAATGTTTCAGTATCATTTCCAGAGTGGCATTCTGAATTCGTTTGATTAATCAAGCAAATTAAAGTAAAAGGAGCAGGCTTTGCTTTCATCATACAGATAAAGGTAATAGCAGAAGATGAAGGAAAGAACAACTCCAGTGTTCTATCCTTGATGCTTACTTGGTATTACTGAGCCCGGCTTAAAGAAAATACCTGTCTTCTTTAGTTCACGGAGAAGAACATGGAAAAAAAGTTATTCTCTACAAAATATGAGACCATTATTATTATAGGTGGTCCCCAACATCTTGAAGGGCTGGCATCTGGGCTCCGCAGGGTCAGGGGAGGAGCCCTACCATCCAGATAAAATGTGTCCTTTCTTTAGAAGTTTTGCGTTTGTATGCATAAGTGAGGTTGGTAAGTTTTGTTATTAAGGTTATGCATCCTCCATAAAGTGAAACTGTGGAGCTTTTTAAATCTTTTTCTATCATTTGGAAAGGTTTAACAATGTCGGAATTTCCTCTTCTCAAAAGGTTAGAAGGAACTCACCAGGGAAAACTTCTGGACCTGATGCCTTTATTAATGATATGTCCTTCATAATTTTTCCAAATTTCCCTTTGGGAACTGATTGATTCAAGTCTCCCCCTCCCCCCACTTTGGGTCAATTTTAGTCATTCTGTTTAAATGATCTATGTTATCTAAGTGTTCAGCTTTTTTTCTTAGAGCTTCATTATTCTCCAGTAATTCTTTAACATCTTCCACACTGATGATTAGGCTTCCTTTTTCATTCCTAATTTTGAGTATTTTTGCTTCATTTTCTTAATCAGGCTTAAAAGGATTTATCTATTTTATGGCCAGCTTCTTTCTAGACTTTGTTGTTTCATCAATTCCTTAAGATGACTGTTAAGTTCCTCTATTTTTGTCTTTCTCTAATTAAAATGTTTACGTCTATAAATTTCCTCTGACTAGAGCTCTTGCTGTTTGCTCCAGGTTTACGTATGAAGTGTTCTCTGTTTCATTCCTTTTAGATGTCTGTTATTTGAATTTTTATTTTCTCCCTTTTTCTTTGGTCCAATTAGGCAGGACGTTTTATTGACCCTTACTTATTTAAAATTTCATCTAAGTATGCTCAGAGACTGTGACCTTATAAAACTCCACTTTTTTGAACATGTTAAAGTATTCTTTGTGGCTAAGTATATAACTAAATTTTGTCTTTAGTGGAATTTAAGATTAAAAATATTAAAAATATAAAGAGAAAAGACACCAGTCTGGGCAGCATGGTGAAACCCCGTTTCTACAAAAAGCTTTTTGGTTTTTTTTGAGACTGAGTTTCACTCTTGTCACTCAGGTTGGAGTGCAGTGGTGCGATCTTGGCTCACTGCGGCTTCCGCCTCCCGGGTTCAAGCGATTCTCCTGCCTCAGCCTCCTGAGTAGCTGGGATTACAAGCGCACGCCACCACACCCAGCTAATTTTTGTATTTTTAGTAGAGATGGGGTTTCACCACTTTGGCCAGGCTGGTCTCAAACTCCTGACCTCAGGTGATCCACCCGCCTTGGCCTCCTAAAGTGTTGGGATTATAGGTGTGAGCCACCGTGCCTGACAACAAAAACCTTTTTTTAAAAAATTAGCCAGGCATAGTGGCAGCGTACACCTGTAGTCCCAGCTACTCAGAAAGCTGAGAAGGAAGGATCGCTTGAACCCGGGAGGCAGAGGTTGCAGTGAGCTGGGATGGAGCCACTGCCCTCCAGCCTGGGTGTCAGAGCAAGACCCTGTCTGGGGAGGAAAAAAAAGACAAAATTAATCTTGTCCTATTAATACTTCCTGTCTTGCTTTTTAAATTTTGTGTGATGTATGAAACCTTTATTTTGAACTTTTCTTTATCATTTTGTTTTTGTGTTCCCTGTAAAGAAGATACATCTGGATTACTTAAAAACCTGATTTCAATGTAAAAATGGAAATGTTTGATTTTATTATTTCCTTTTTTTTTTTTTTTTTTTGAGACGGAGTCTCGCTCTGTCACCCAGGCTGGAGTGCAGTGGCCGGATCTCAGCTCACTGCAAGCTCCGCCTCCCGGGTTCACGCCATTCTCCTGCCTCAGCCTCCCGAGTAGCTGGGACTACAGGCGCCTGCCACCTCGCCCGGCTAAGTTTTTGTATTTTTAGTAGAGACGGGGTTTCACTGTGTTAGCCAGGATGGTCTCGATCTCCTGACCTCGTGATCCGCCCGTCTCGGCCTCCCAAAGTGCTGGGATTACAGGCTTGAGCCACCGCGCCCGGCCGATTTTATTATTTCCATCTTGCTTTATGTTTACTACTGATTTTACCTTATGTCTTTTTGTCTTCAATTATTTTTGCTGTGTGGACTAAGTTACTATTTATTCCTCCTTGTTAACTTGGTTGCCTTCCCTTTCCCATCTCTCAGAACCAACCATATTTCTCCACAATTACATGTAAATAAAGGCAGAAGCTGTTTCTCCACCAAGGTGCCTTTTCCCCAGCTGCTCTGACCCATCACAATAAGATAAAACCAGTAAGATGGAGTGTGTCCCCCTGTCCTGCACTCTCAGGATGAGCTCAATACATTTTTTTTTCACAGAATTTAGGAATTTTACCAGAATAAACCTAAATTGTGTATATTTTCTCATCAGTCCTACTTGGAACTCAATGAACCCTTTCAATACAAATAAAAAAGCCTTTCCAAGGTCTTCTTTAAACATGCCAGGCAAAACGGCTTGAAAATGTCAGGATAAACACATTCCCAGCGCTTCCTGTAACGCCTCTCTTAGAGAAACTCAGCTTCTGGAGAGTAAAGAAGTTGGTGATGGAGCATGGAGGGCTGACAGCCCAGGCCCCACTCACTCACCTGTGTGCAGCGACAGGTGTCGGGACAAGGTCTGCTGTCGGCCAAACACTTTCCCACACACGTCACAGGGAAAAAGTTGGTCATTGAATTTCCAGGATGGTAATCCATTCCCTGCCTCTAGGACTATCTTTTCTGTTTCTGGGTCAAAAGAACAAAGCATCATGAGAAATAAGGCAACAAGAATACATTTTCTGTTAGTCAACATTCAGAATTTTAGCAGAGCCTTCCCTCTGAAGAACGTGGCTAGTAACTGCAAATGAGTCTCCGGAACTGGTTTTCATGCTCATTTCCTGTCTCTAAGAAGGCCATTCTTGAAAGCTGTGGTGGCAAGTGGATTCCGACACCCGTCAAATCTTCAGTATTTTCTGTCTTTCATCACTGAAGACCAGCCAACTAACCCTCTAGTCAGTTGACAGCACTGTGCCCAGTATACAGCAGATACTCAATAAATACTTGTTGAATGAGTTGCCTGACTTGCATGTTAAAATTCCAGAAACATAGGCTCTTGCCACAAGACAGTAAATAAAGGATTGTAGGCTGGGCTTGGTCACTCACACTTGTAATCCCAGCATTTTGGGAGGCTGAGGCGAGTAGATCACTTGAGCTGCAAAGTTCAAGACCAGCCTGGCCAACATGGTGAAACCTTGTTTCTACTAAAAATACAAAGATTAGCTGGGCATCATGGCGGGTGCCTGTAATCCCAGCTACTTCAGAGGCTGAGGCATGAGAATCGCTTGAACCTGGGAGGCGGAGGTTGCAGCGAGCTGAGATCACACCACTGCACTCCAGCCTGGGTGACAGAGTGAGACGCTGTCTCAAAAAAAAAAAAAAAAAAAAATTGTAAGTCTCAGATTCTGATGTGAAAACAAATGGTGCTATCCCTTGAAAGGAAATATACTTTCCTTCTCTTTAAGAAGAAAGCTTTGCTCTTCATTCCAGTTTGAGCAAAATCCTTAATGAGGAATTTGTGCTAAGTAGACTCAGTGATGACTACCGCACACTGTGCCACAGAAAATTCCCTAATGCAAGAATGAACCAGAATTTCCCCAAAGGTCTCACATTTGGGAAAACAGTGAGTGCCACAAGTTGTCCACCCATAATTCATAGCCATGAACGAAACAAATGGACTTTAATACATTCTCTAATCATCTTAAAGAGTTTTTATTTTCTCATTCTTATCCCTAGGATTACCTTTAATCCTAATTCATGTTTCTTCTTGTGGAACTGTACCAGATTATATAAACATTCCTTCTATGATAATGTCATAAAATAGGTGACAGAGAACACCAGGAAGAGGGAAGGAGACACTTCTAAAAGGACACTTGAATGGGCCACTGATAGGCCTTTCACCTCACTTTGAAGACGAAGACAAATGATACATTAAGTTAATATCTTGTCTTTTACCTCAGTAAATCATTGCAAATCTCCTTAAAGCACAGTGCTGCATTTAGAACTGGACACCATGTGGTGATAATTGAATGGTGGTAAGAACTTCTCACAATCTAAGCAGATGAAAATGCTCACAACACGAGTCAGAGATAACATCAGAAGAAAGAACTTTATTTCACACAATTTGGTTAAAACTGCTTCCCAATACAGGCTTCCACCTGTATGTGGATAAATCAATGGGATCAATTTTCATTTGAATGATTTTCCAGATAGGGTAATCTAAGGGAAGAAGAAACAAATATGAATGTATGTCTGGAAAGGGGAGGAGGGGAAATGATGGTGAAACTGCAATAATGTTCGCTGTGAGGCACCTGCCAGCAATCCCAACACTGATAAAGCACATGAATTGATTTATCTGTGTTTGTTAAAACGTAGCACTTGGGGCCTTAGGGAGAAGAGTTGCTCTTATTAAAGTAGAAATGTGTGACTAAAAACCTCTCAAGGGGAAGAGAATTAAAAAAAGGAAGTTGAACTTCTGAGAACAAGAACTACTCTTAGATGGCTGTCCTTGAGTCCAAGCAGTGGGCATTTCAGCTGTGCAGTGAATTTCAGTATATCAGTAGCTCCTTTTCAGTGTATAATAAAAACAGTGCTTCCAAGAACGATAATGGTAATAATTATAAGGAGAGGTCAAGAGGGTGCAGGGTCTCTTAATACATTCATAACAAGAATGAATGAATTGGGTCAAATACCAAACAAGTAGATGCAATTAAAAATAGATAAGCATCTTAATAAATCCTTCAAGTATCAGTCATGTACTCAAGAAGTTGAAGCATCATGAACTGTCTGATTCCTTCCACTGGTCTTAGAAAATGATGAAAGCACAAATCTCATCATGTCTTGTTCTGTATGCCAATGGCTCCTCAAGGCCAAACTTCTGGCTTCTGAGTCCTTCATGGCCTGGCTCTGGCCACCTCCCACCACCCAAATGCTTGGCAAAGTAGACTGCTTGACTTTTCAGGAACAAACAATTCCCTTTTAAGTGTCATTGCTTTTGAAACAACTGTTCCTCCACCAACAGCTACTCCCCACAACTACTTCTGTACAATAAACTCAGACTCAATTTGAAGCCCCATCTCAGATTTCATCTCCTTGGTGAAGCCCTGCCCAGTTCCCAAGGAAGATTTAGTCATTTCCCCTGCTCTGTCCCAGGGCACTTTTATGAATATTTCCATTGTACCACTTTACCTGTTATATCACTTGTTTACATATCTTCTATAAGCCATATATATATATATATATATGCATATAAAACACCCAGTATAGTCCAACGTGAAGCAGTGCCCAGTCAACACGTCCCCTGGCCTCCCTCCCCTGGGGGAAGGGTTCTGCATTATTTATTTGTGTATCCTCAGCATTAGCACAATCTCTGCTACATAAGAGGTGCTTAGTATGTATTTGTTGAGTAAATGAATGACTGAATAAAAGGGTCCAAGTGAGGCAGAGAATAGACATTATTCTTATTTTATAGAGCAAAAGACTAATAATTTAGTAGCATTCATTAAGGCCCATGGCCAATTCAGAATGAAAAATCAGGCTACCTGCCTTTTGAATTACTGTTTTAACTCAATTCACTAACTGCTTTCATGATTCTATTAGTGGAAATGTTTGCAGTCCTGAGCCATACCTCCAAAGGCTCTAAATTCTTACCTCTTCCCAATAGCATCAAGCCACAAGATGATTCCCTTTATGATGAACTCTGGCAGTTGCTCTTTGTCAGTTAACCCAACAGTCATTGTAAACTTTCCTTATCCCCTGACTTCTCCAGCCATGGAAGCAGCTGGGGTAGCCATGTGCCAAAGTTCTGAGAAGGCTTTTGTGTTTCCGTTAAAATGAAGGATATGACTAGTATTGCCCCCTTCTCTTTTCCAGCCTTGATCACAGAAGAAATGGTTAGGAGTCTGGCAGCCATTTTGTGAATATGAGGCATGAAGACAAAAGCCAACTGCCAAAGATGGAGAAAGGGAAAGATGGGAAAAGTATAGGTCCTTGATATGGTTTGGTTCTGTGTCCCTGCCCAAATCTCATGTCAAATTGTAATTCCCAGTATTGGAGGTGGGGCTTGGTGGGAGGTGACTGGGTCATGAGGGGTGGAGTTCTCATGAATGGTTTAGCATGGTCTCTCTGGTGCTGTTCTCATGATAGTGAGTGAGTTCTCACAAGATCTGGTTGTTTAAAAGTGTGCAGCACCTTCCCCTTCTCTATTCCTACTGCTCTGGCCATGTAACATGTGCCTGCTTCCCCTTCACCTTCCACTATGACCGGAAGCTTCCTGAGGCCTCCCCAGAAGCCAAGCAGATGCCAGCATCATGCTTCCTGTACAGCCTATGGAACTGTGAGCCAATTCAACCCCTTTCTTTATAAATTACCCAGTCTCAGGTATTTCTTGATAGCACTGCAGGAACTGACTAATACAGTCCTCTGTGACATTTCTCAGTAGCTGAATGAACACCAGCAAACACCCACTTCTGGACTTCTTGTTTCGTGAGGGAAATAAGTCCCTGTTTGTTTCAGCCACCGTTGGTTGGGTTTTCTGTTACTTGTAACATTCTTAACTGAAGGCCCTTCCTATGGTTCCTCTTGGTCTTAGGACTTTGAACATTAGGTTCCACCTTTTGACAGGCTTTAATTCCCAAAATCCCCCATCCTGTGAAGAACTCTCCACATTAATTATCAACAGCAACAAGTGTACAGCCAGCCGAACACATTTCCATCTTAATTATCTTCTTCTGTTGGGAAAGAAAAACCTTAAAAGCTTCTTTTAGATTACTCAGGAATTTCCTTTAAAAAAACTTTTTATGAAGCATAATATATGTAACAGAAAAGTACACATATCAATAACTGTTTTTAAGTTAGTTCCAAACTCACAAAACAGCTTGGAATATGGGTACTATTTTTAAATTTTTGCTACTCTTCATCTTGATTCCCCTATCCCTTAGCATTTGTTTCATTATTTTAAGTAGCTTGAATGTATACTTAAGATTCTCTTCATTTCTTTTAGAAATACTTGTCTAATGGTAACCTCTTTTTTTGTATGGAGTCTCATAGGATTTTGTCTCTTATAAAGCGTTTTATTTCTTTTCACACTCTTATGTTCTGATCCCTGGGATAACCATAAATTGCTTCCAGAAATTCCTGGCTATTCGGTATTATGTGATCAGATGTTTTTTCTCCACGTTTCCACCTGTGATGTTTGCCTTGAATGTCATTTGGGCTTTTCCTCTTCCTTATATAGGTTTTTGTTTTAAATGAAGCAAACAGGTGTATAGGATTAAGCACTTTTGTCCTTATAGTACAGCTGGAAAAATAGGAACACAGTGTAAGGAGAACGATCCCATCTTAGCAATCCGAAAACAAGGCTTTCAGCTCTTCCTATTAATGGTGAACTGAGGTCTGTCATCCATAATGATGAGGACTAGTTGGTCAAAATACAATACAGCAAACTATGCTTCTTATAACCTAGTTATTCAAGGGGACATGTCTCATTTCATGCATAGGTCCTGGGAAGATGAAACCCATCCAGCATGTCTCCAAAAATTTTCCTTAATTAAACACATTTCGTAGAATTCAGGAGGGAATTCTATCAAAATCTGCTTGACAAAACATTATATCAAGTAGAGCACTCAGTTATCTTCAGATCCAATTTGTTCATTTTCAGGAGGATAAAAATGAAGCCTTATATTCCAGGA